CCCAGTAAGCTAAAAGTACGTACAAGTCCGCCGACTAAATGATTTTCCACGACCGCACGGAAACGCAGCCCCCCCCCCCCCCCCCCCGACCGAGCTGCGAAACAGCGGCGTCCACACCGGCCGCCGCTCGAGAACCAAAATTTTCTTCGGCGCTGCGCGCCGCGTTCAACCCGATGACCAGTACGGCTCTACAGCAGCACGTGTAGGAGAGCAGTTGTGAAAGTGTGCGGTGTGTGCGCGCGACTGTGAGGGACGTGCAAACGTTGCATTTTCGTAGACGGCGGGTACGGATTCATTTTGATATCGTAGAGCCGAACTCCGCGGGGGCGAGGGTGGAAGCGCACACTGAACACACTCTCGAGAGAGCGGAGTGGTGTGGCAGCCTCGCTATGGCGGGGGCGTTGCAGGGAGCCAGCGTTGAGCGTCCTTCTTTTGCTTGCTGAAGCGTCGTACGCGAGTGAGTTCGCCGCGCCGTATCTGCCTCTCTGGCACTGGGCCATGAATCACTCACTCCCGCGACCACGCCTCGATCTTCTTGGGCAGCAGCTGGTTCGACAGGTCCTCTCCGTGGCCTAGGCAGCGGTGGCCGCCCTGGCCCCAGGCAAAGACAGCGCCGTTGGCAGTGATGGCGAGGCCGTGGCTGCGTCCAGCCGAGGCAACGACGACGCGATGGCCCGCAAAGGCCTCGATCTTCCTGGGCAGCAGCTGCCACAGCTGGTCGCCGTGGCCCAGCTTGCCAAAGCCTCCATCGCCCCAGCTCCAAGCGGCGCCGTCGGCGGTGAGGGCGAGGCTGTGGCGGCCTCCTGCCGACACAGCGACGACGCGATGGCCTGCAAAGGCCTCGACCTTCTTCGGCAGCAGCTGCTGCTGCTGGTCGCCGTGGCCCAGCCTGCCTGAGTTTCCATCGCCCCAGCTCCAGACAGCGCCGTCGGCTGTTAGGGCGATGCTGTGCGCAAGTCCAGCCGAGACAGCGATGGCGAGCCGCCCAGCGAAGGCCTCGACCTTCTTTGGCAGCAGCTGGACCTGCGTGTCGCCGTGGCCCAGCTGGCCAAAGAGTCCATCGCCCCAGCTCCAGACGCTGCCGTCGGCGGTGATGGCGAGGCTGTGGTATGCTCCAGCCGACACGGCGACGACGCGTCGCCCAGCGAAGGCCTCGACGTTCTTGGGCAGCGGCTGGCGCTGCTCGTCGCCGTGGCCCAGATTGCCCCAGTCTCCATCGCCCCAGCTCCAGACGGCACCGTCGGCGGTGATTGCGAGGCTGTGGCCATCTCCAGCCGACACAGCGACGACGCGCTGGTCAGCAAAGGCCTCGACCTTCTTGGGCAGCAGCTGGTCCTGCGCGTCGCCGTGGCCCAGCTGGCCCCAATTTCCAGCACCCCAGCTCCAGACAGCGCCGTCGGCGGCGAGGGCGAGGCTGTGGCCATCTCCGGCCGACACGCTCACGGCGCGCTCGTCACCCAGCGTTGACGGGAGGCGGGTCGGCGTGTTGAGCTGCGTCCTTCCCTCGCCGTGGCCGAGAAGGCCTGGAAACTCCTCGTCCTCCTCCTCCTCCTCCCCCTCCGTTGCCACTGACCCGCACGACGAGAGCCGCCCCTTGCCGTCGATGAACACGCTGTGCCATTCGCCTGCTGCCGCCCTCGCCGGTGGGTTGGACTCGTGCAGCAACGCCGAATAGCACAGCCAGCGCACGGCGCAGGTCTCGTCCTCGGGCTGCGCCGGCAGCTCGAAGCCGCGCTCTTGCGCCCACAAGCGGATGCCCTGCTCCGCGAGCGAGGCGTGAAAGAGCAGGGAGACGGCCGCGACGCGAGCGATGTCGGCGGGGCTGTCGCAGCGAGAGAGGGCGCGCTCGACGAGCTCCCTGGGGAGATCGAGCAAGCGGACGGGCGGCGGCGCGACTGGCGAGGGCGCGGCGGTGGCGGCGGAGGCGAGGCGGCGCGAGCTGCGGCGCGGCGGGGTGGACATCGCGAAGAAAAGAATTTACCTCGCGCTGCCGTGTGTGAGTGTGTGTCAACGTTTGAACGGCCGCACTTGAATGCTCGCCTTGCTCGCCCTCGCTCTGCCCACTGCCGCCGCCGCGCACAGACACCACCTAGCTGTAGTTCCCAGCCGGCGTGAGTTGCCCGCCCTTCGGGCCGGAGCACCCGTTGCGGCTGGGCCAACCGCAGTACAGCTGCCGGCGGGCTGCTGCCGCCTGCTGCTGGCTGGCGCTCAACGCCTGGCATGGCGAGAAGAGCCGCCGCGGTTGCCACCGACGGGCGCAGAGCGTGCCGGCGGAGCGGCGCGTCGGCGAGGCCGCGAGCAAAACGATCCGCGCCGCGTGCTCCTCGGGCTCCAAGCAGCCGAGGCTGCCGAGGAGGCCGAGGAGGCCGAGGAGGCCGAGGAGGCCGAGGAGGCCGAGGAGGCCCCCCCCTCCCCCCCGGGGTCTCGAACCCGGGACCACGCGATGCTCGGGCGAGACGCGTGCGCACGTGCAGCGCTGGACAGGGCGGCCCGCAGCGGCGCTCTGGCTCATATACGGTGGATTTTATTTAATTGTTTGCTGTCATCGCTGGCGCCTCTGGGTGGAGTGAGGTGGTGGATAGGGTGGGCGCTCGCAACCGTGGCGAGTGTCGCCCTAGCCGTGCGTCACGGGAGGATGGGCCGAGGAAGGCCACCGCGCACGTCGGCCCCACGACACAGTGACATAGTGACAGGAGCAGCACCACCACCAGCTGCAGAGCCAGAGGCGCCTCACAGCCCCGGTCGCGCAAAACCAGAGGACCCCCCGCACAGAGAGAAAAGAAGCGAAAAAGCCAGACGGCGCGCCCGAAAAAGAAAACGCGGGAGACGGCGCCCAGCGCCAAGGGGACGCGAAGCATGGACGGGGGCAGAGATCGCCGCCCTCCCGATCCGCGCAAAAAAGAGGAGGGTGTGGGCGTGGAAGCGACACCGACGGAATGTGCGGCGGAAGGGGCGAGGGAAGCTCGACCCAGACCTGGACTTCTACGGTCACGGACACCATAACCGAAAGAAAGAGAGGGGAGCTCGCGGGAGAGGTGACGAGTGAACTACAGGTAGTGGGGAAGGCAGCCTCGATGGCCATACAGACATGGGTGCGAAACAACGACAAGACCAAGGCACGGGCAGAGGAACGAGAGAAGAATATAGAGTGGATAAAGCGCCTGTTCACGGCATGGAGGGTAAGCCACGCCGAACGCAAGGAAGCCGGGGAAGACGACCCCGAGGAGGACGAAACAAAAGTGGAAATCCCGCCGTCAGCTGTCACAATATACCCGAAGGGAACCCCAGTGCCAACACCGACCATTGAGGTACAAGTGCTCGAAACGAGAGTGGACCTGAGCAACGACATGACAGGGCGGGATATGCTCGCAGTGGGAGTCAGAAATGTGGTCCTTGCGCGAGGAATGCTCGATAAACTCGAGGGACCAAAATACGCGGAGAGGAGAGCGGAGTTACGCAGAAAGGCGAGAGAAGCAGCGAGAGCAAGAGATCGGCAGACGACAGCGGCGTCTCAGAACGAGGCCGAGGAGAGCGATGAGTCAGGGGAAGAGACAGCAGGAGAGAGAACGACGAGAGTGAGAAGAATGCGAGGTGGCATGAAGGTCGCTGCAAGAATTGGTGATAAACTGCGGAGAGAGATAGGAAGTGGTAGACGCCCGAGGGTGGGCGACGGCTAACACCACACTTCTCCCCTAAAATCCCTGTGTGGTGGCGGCGTACCGTCCTCCCATCCCTCCCTTGGGTTGCCTGTTTTCTTTCTTTCTTTTTTGTGTGTGTGTGGGGGTGCATGACCTAGTAGTGTCCCCAGCTATGGGCGTGTCCACGTTGGAGCCAGGTGTGGTGTGGGCGCGAGAATAGCTCCGCCGTTCATGGAGGCAACCGATGCGAGTCGACTGGTGTGTGTCGTCGTGGTTTCGTATATCAAGAATACTCACTCACACACGAGCTGCCTCGCACAACACTGGGTACGAATTCATTGATATCGTAGAGCCAAACTCTATGGGTATGGAGCGCGATCTCCGCATCTCCCGATATGTCCGGGACCGAAGACAGTGTCCGGACCGCGGTGCGCGGGGGCGAGGGAGAAGCCAACGAAGCGCGCACTCTCGAGAGCGAGTGTGTGGCAGCTTCGCTATGGCGGGGGCGTTGCAGGGAGCCAGCGTTGAGCGTCCTTCTTTTGCTTGCCTCGTATCTGCCTCTCTGGCACTGGGCCATGAATCACTCACTCCCGCGACCACGCCTCGACCTTCTTGGGCAGCAGCTGGTTCGACAGGTCATCTCCGTGGCCTAGGCAGCCGTATTCGCCCTCGCCCCAGGAAAGGACGGCGCCGCTGGCGGTGATGGCAATACTGTGGCTGCTCGCAGGCGACACAGCGACGACGCGCCGCCCAGCCAAGGCCTCGACCTTCTTCGGAAGCGGCTGGCTCTCGGTGTCGCCGTGGCCCAGCAGGCCACAGGCTCCATAGCCCCAGCTCCAAGCGGCGCCGTCGGCGGTGAGGGCGAGGCTGTGGTAGCCTTCAGCCGACACAGCGACGACGCGCCGCCCAGCAAAGGCCTCGACCTTCTTGGGCAGCTGCTGGTTCTGCAGGTCGCCGTGGCCCAGCTGGCCAACACCTCCTTCGCCCCAGCTCCAGATGCTGCCGTCGGCGGTGATGGCGAGGCTGTGGTCGCCTCCAGCCGACACAGCGACGACGCGATGGTCTGCAAAGGCCTCGACCTTCTTCGGCAGCAGCTGGCGCTGCTCGTCGCCGTGGCCCAGATTGCCCCAGTCTCCATCGCCCCAGCTCCACACGGCGCCGTCGGCGGTGACGGCGAGGTTGTGGTAATCTCCAGCTGACACAGCGACGACGCGCCGCCCAGCAAAGGCCTCGACCTTCTTCGGCAGCAGCTGCCGCTGCTGGTCGCCGTGGCCCAGTCGGCCAGAGTTGCCCCGGCCCCAGCTCCAGACGGCGCCGTCGGCGGCGAGGGCGAGGCTGTGGTCGCCTCCCGCCGACACAGCGACGACGCGCTGGCCAGCCAAGGCCTCGATCTTCTTGGGCTGCCACTGGACCTGCTGGTCGCCATGGCCCAAGCGGCCAAAGTCGCCCTCACCCCAGCTCCAGACAGTGCCGCTGGCGGCGAGGGCGAGGCTGTGGCCAGCTCCAGCCGACACGCTCACGGCGCGCTCGTCACCCAGCGTTGACGGGAGGCGGGTCGGCGTGTTGAGCCGCGTCACGCCCTCGCCGTGGCCGAGAAGGCCTGGAAGTTCCTCATCCTCGTCCTCGTCCTCCTCCTCGCCCTCCGTTGCCCCTGACCCGCACGACGAGAGCCGCCCCTCGCCGTCGATGAAGACGCTGTGCCGAGCGCCTGCTGCCGCCCTCGCCGGCGGGTTGGACTCGTGCAGCAACGCAGCGAAGCACAGCCACCGCACGGCGCAGCCCTCGCCCGCTGGCGGCGCCGGCAGCTCGAAGCCGCGCTCTTGCGCCCACAAGCGGATGCCCTGCTCCGCGAGCGAGTGGAAGAGCAGCGAGACGGCCGCGGCGCGAGCGATGTCGATGGGGCTGTCGCAGCGAGAGAGGGCGCGCTCGACGAGCTCCCTGGGAAGATCGAGCAAGCGGACGGGCGGCGGCGCGACTGGCGAGGGCGCGGCGGTGGCGGCGGAGGCGAGGCGGCGCGAGCTGCGGCGCGGCAAAATGGACATCGCGAAGAAAAGAATTCTTGAGACACGAGCCTCTCTCACAGCACAGAAAAGAATTGAGCCGCGTGAACACACTTGGTTTTTCTGTTTTCTTTCTTTCTTTCTTTCGTAACACACACACTCATCAGTAACCAGCCTCCGGCGGGGCCCCCTCTCCGAGAGCGCAGCGCAGACAGACTGACTACTATGTCTAGACAGAGGCTCAAGATGACTCAAGCGCCAGCTGCTGCCGAAGAAGGTCAAGGCCTTGGCTGGGCAGAAAGCCGTCGCTGTGTGGGCGGGTGGGGCAAGGGCGAAGACGCCTGCCTAGGCCACGGAGAGGACCTGTCGAACCAGCTGCTGCCCAAGAAGATCGAGGCGTGGGCGCCGGGGCAGTGATGAGAAGTGCGAAAGGGTGCAAGGCTCTCTGTTGCCGCGTCGCCCACGTGCCTATTCGCCACCTGCGAACGTAATAGATGATCGTCGTAGATCGTAACACGTGTATTCCAAAAAAGGGTTCGTACGCGCTTCTTATTATTCTAATCGTGCGTGCGCGCAGGGCTCGTCTTTGCTTTCTTCTACGAAAGCGCTGGGGGCGTCACTGTGAAGGCTGCTGCCAGGACGGCTTCGATCCAATAATCAGACACGTCTGCAGTCGGTGCTCCTGCACAGAGTGCATTGGGGCGCACAGGCTGCGGTACAAAAACGGTGGCAGCGAGAAGGTGGACACCGGCTTTGTGACGTTTATGCGGCGGAGCTGCAGGAGAGAGAGAAGATAACCCACGCAAGAAGGGCCGGACGAGCCGGGCACTGCTCACAGCACGCGTCTGCTCTCAGGCGCACGAGCACATGTTCGACAGAGAGAGTGGGGGCCAGCATCCAGCCATGGGCGTGACGGGGGCGCTCGAGAAGGTCGCTGGCTTCAAACCCGCCTCGGATCCGACCTTCGACGCCGCAAGCGATGTCATGAATATCACGATGACAGGGCACAGTCTTAGGGGGTCGCAGGTGCAGATGCTGTGCCTACGAGTGTGGCATCCAGGCACGCCCCACGATCGCGGCGATCTTACCTCGAGACGAGTGTGAAAACGCCCTGCGCCAAAACGCAGCGCGGGAAGCGGCTCAGCACATGCCAACGAGTGAGGCCCACTGGATCGCCCTCCTCGACGGCGTCTTCGGCGACGACGACATTCTCAACATCATATTCAGCACCCTCAAACCGCTGAGCGACAAGCCTCGTGCCAGTCAAACCTGTAAACGGTTCTGTGCGCAGTTGAGCGAGCCGCAGTACAACACAAGGCGGAACTGGCTTATCAGCCGTACCTGCTATGCGCAAAGCTTCAACGCAAGTCTGCTGCGTGCTCCATGCTGGTGTGCGTGTGGCTGCCTTCGCGTTGCGTCCGCAGACGGCAGCAGCAAAATCTGGCTGCAGGGAAGGTGCGCGCATTTTCAGCGCCTGCTGTCTCTTGTCAAGCAGACTCCAGGCCGCTCGTACGACAGGGAAACCCACGCATGGTCAGTGGCGACGGAACACCTTCGCTCGCTCCTCGATCGAGTGTACCGCAGCGAGCCCGACGCACTGTTGCCCGGAGTTCGCGAGGCGCTCGCGAGGCTGCAGGCGCCTGGTCCGCCTGTGCCGACCGGCGCGGCTGCGAGCGGCAACGACCCTGTTCGCGACTACTCGCGTTTCGGCGGCCCTTCGACGGTGCCCACGCGTCGTGCCGCGCTGATGCTGAGGGAGGTGGCCATGCGGGGCGAGGAGCAGCGACTCCGCGGGCTGTCGCCGGCTTATTTTGCGCGCCAGCAGCAGCTGCAGCAGCTGCGAGAGGCAGTGCGTGTCGGATCTGACATTCTGACGCGCAAGAGCGCTTCTCCAGACGAGTCAAGCAGGCTGACTGAAACAGCACAGGCCGTCCACGACCTTCACGAGGCGATTGAGGCGGTGCGTCCGCCACTCTCCGGCGCGATGAAGCCAGACGACGAGAAGAAGATGTCCAAGGCTCGCGCGCTCGAAGAGGAGCTGAAAGCCGAGCGTCTGCGCGCGGCCGATGCTGTGGCTGAGCGGCGGCGCGTCGAAGCCGTCGATCGCCTTCGAGCCGCAATGTGTCCTCGACTGGACGACGAGCCTCTCGCCGAGAGGATGCATCTGCTCGAGGTGGCAATCAGCGAGGCCGAGGAAGAGGACGCTGCCGCGCAGGATGCTGCGCTGCTCGTCGAGGCAGCAGCGCGGCTGGATGCGCTACGTGAGGCGCGGGCGGAGGAGCTGCGAAAGGAGGCCGAGGCAAACGCGGCGGCAAGAGCGGCGGCCAGAAAGGCGGCGGCCATCGCCCAGCTTCGAGCCGTGCTCGCGGAGAGTGTCGACGGGCCTGTCGATCGCCGGCTGCGTCGGCTGGAGGCGGCGCTGTGCGAGGTGAAGGCGTCCGGCGTGATCGAGCTGTGGACTCCATCCGGCGTGATCGTGCACGTGGACGGAGAGCCCCAAGTCGAGCACGAGTTGCTCGAGGAGGCAGCTCGCCTCGAAACAGCGCTTGCGCACGAGCGACAGGAGGAGCAGGCTCGCGCGGCAGCGGCGGCGGAGGCGGCCAGACAGGCGGCGGCGGAGGCGCGTGCAGCGTCCAGAAAGAAGGCCGCCATCGAGCGGTTGAGCGAGGCGGTCGACAGAGCAGACGAGGCGGTCGACAGCGCGGACGAGAACGAGCACGAGGGAGATCTTGAGGACGTGCTCACGCTCAAGGACGTGCTGGAGGAGCTGCAGACGGCGCTGTGCGAGGCGAAAAACGCCGGCGTGACGCCTGATGTGCCGGTGCACAACAGCACGGGAGGGGACGGACTGCTTGCCGCGGCGCGTGAGCTGTTGGTCGCAGTGAAGGCGGCGCACTGGGCGCGGGCCATGCGGCTGCCACGGGACGAGTGCGCGGTGGCACTTTGCGAATGCAACCGACCGCACGAGATGGGAGAGCTCGGGTACCACGTGTGCCGCTTTTACGGCTTCTTCTCATGTCGAAGCTGCGGCAACGACTGGGAGAGCGGGCGCACACACGTCGATCTCGGCCGCAAGGTGCCGCTAGACTGCCGCCGCTGCCGTCGCGCGACCGAGCCGTTCAAGATGCAGCTGCTTCAGGATGCTGGCGGACACGGGGAGAGGGGCCGACATCCAGCGCATTTGTGCCACATGTGCAGGCGGCTCCAGCGCGAGCGCGGAGATCCGGATGCACGCTGTGACGGGAGGCGGCTCGACGGTCTGTACAATGATTGATTCTCATCATCCTGGAAGCAATTACAGCTGTATCCAGTAACAAGCGGTACGATCTCGTGTTGGAGATATCTGTTCAGAATTTCACAACAAAAACCACCTTCAAGCCACACGATTCCCCGGCTAGTCATGCGGAGCGTCATGACTCATGTGCTGTCACACACCGGTGATCGGGTGCGTTTGGTGAATGTCTTCTTTCTTCTAATCGCTGCGGCCGGCGCAGTCACTGCCCGCCGCCCTCGACGCGAGCGCCTTGGCCTTGCCGCCGCAGTCTTGGCCGCCGCCGCCGCCGCCACCGCCGCCGCCGCCGCCGCCTCGTCCACCACTGCCTTCGCCTCAGCTTCGCCATGGGGCCCCATCTCCCCCCCGCATGCACACCCTCTGGGGCCCCCGCGGCCGCGCCGGCCTCCAGAGGTCCGAGCCTGGCTTTCTTCTCACAGGTCCTACATACACATATACAGGCGGACTGGCGCGTGCTGGCACTGTGCCCGCTGCTAAACAGCCGTTGAAGCAGAACCAGAAGCCAGAACAACGACACTTAATTTGACCACCACGGGACTGTGCAGCGAGCTCCACCCGCACCCCTCTCCCACAAAAGTCCTCTCACCTCCCTCTCCCCCGCCTTTAGCGGTGGAGATCGCGGACCCCCCCCCTGAACAGACAAGACCATGGGACAGCGAGCTCACCCGTCCCCCCTCCCTGCACCCACCTTCCTCCCAGCACATGCCTCTTCAACCACGATCCGGCGCCGGCGCCAGTAGCAGTACTGTACCTGGTTGCTGTCCTTGCGCGCGGCTAGTCGGCATCTGCCTTGGCCCTCGCGGCGGCCGCTGACGCGCGCCTCGCCTTGACGGCAGCCAGTGCCGCCTCCGCCGCCTCCGCCGCCTCTGCCGCCACCTCTGCCGCCGCCGCCGCCGCCGCCGCCGCGGCGGCCGCCTCCTCCTCTGCCGCTGCCAAAGCGTCGGCCTCGGCTTCAGCCTCCCGCGCCTCCGCTGCCACCAAGGCTGCCTCCTCACCCGCCTCTGCCGTCTCCTCCTCGCTCGCCTCGCCTGCCGCCTCGGCCTCCTCTCCCAACGCCTCGGCCAACCCCTCGACCGACGTCTCCGCCGTGATGCCGTACCGAATCCGCTCCTCGTGGAGCGTCTCGAGAAGCCTGATCAATCCCTCCCTGTCCAGCTTCGCGGGCTTGGCTGCGGCTGCCTCTGACGCCGCCTCGGGATCCTGCGACGGCCCAGCGCCACCGCTCCCGCCGCCCTTCTTCTTCTTCTTCCCCTTCTTGCCCTTGCCGCGCTTCTCCGCCTCGACCTCCGCCAGCAGCTCCTCGGCGTGCCGCGCAGCCTCCGCCTCCGCCACCGCCCGCTCCGCCGCCCTCTCCGCCGCCTCCTGCGCCGCCTCCTTCGCCGCCTCCTTCGCCGCCTTCTCTGCCGCCCTCTCGGCCGCCGCATGCTCCTCGAGGGCGCGCACGCAATCGATGTGGCCCTGCTCCTTGGCAATCTGCAGCGCTGTGTGTCCACTCGCCGCGCGCAGTTCCGTGTCGGCGCCCGCCCGCAGCAGGCAGCGGAGAGCGGCGGGGTGGTTCTGGTAGGCGGCGATCATCAGCACGGTGTTGCCGTCATTGTCCTGAATGTTGATCTCCGCGCCGCGCTGCAGCAGCAGCTCGACCACCCGCTCGTGGCCGCAGAGGGCGGCGAACAGCAGCGCGGTGCCGCCGGCATTGTCCTGCCAGTCGATCTCCGCGCCGTGCTGCAGCAGCGCGTCGACCACCCGCGCGTGGCCTTGTCGGGCGGCGTACAGCAGCGCGGTGCGGCCTTTACTGTTCTGAAGGTCGATCGAAGCGCCACGCTGCAGCGACGCCACGGCCAGTCGCTCGTTGCCGCAGGAGGCGGCGGCCATCAGCAGCGTAATGCCGCTCTCATCCTCACGGGTGAAAGTCGCGTCCACCCGCCCGCCGCCGTCGAGCCACGCCAGCACCGCCTCGCCGCCTCGCCAAGCCGCCTCCACGATCTCCTTGGGGACGGCGTCCTCGCCCGTTCCACTCTCCACGCCGCCAGAAAAGGACGCGGCAGTTGGTGCCGCCGCTGCCCCCTTGCTCGAGGCGGCATCGCCGTCCGCCCCTGCGCCGCCCGCCGCGCCGATGTCCTCGGGAACAGGCCCGCTGCTGCCGCCCGAAGCGCTGCCTGCCCCCGCGCCGCCCGCCTCGACCGCCGCCGCGTCGCGCCTCTCCGCCGCCACCTCGCCGAGAAATGTCTTGACGGCGGCGACGCACTCGGTGTGGCCCTTCTCCTTGGCGATCTGCAGCGCCGTCTTGCCGTCCGCAGTGCGCAGCGCCATGTCTGCGCCCGCCCGCAGCAACTGGAGCACGACGACAGAATGGCCATTGAAGGCGGCGTTCGCGACCGCAGTGTAGCCGTCGCTGTTCTGCAAGTCGACCTCTGCCCCGTGCCGTAGAAGCAAGTCGACCAGGCGCTCGAGGCCTCGGTTGGCGGCCAACGTTAGCGCAGTGCAACCGTGGCTGCTCTGTAGGTTGATCTCCGCGCCGTGCTGCAGCAGCGTCTCAGCCACCTGCACCTGGCCCGTAGCGGCGGCCGCAATCAGCGCGGTGCTGCCGACGCTGTTATGCGCGTCCGGCTTCGCGCCCCGCTTCAGCAGAACCTCGACCAGCTGCTTGTGGCCGTTGGTGGCGGAGTGAGTGAGTACACACACACACACACACACACACACACACACACACACACACACACACACACACACACACACACACACACACACACACACACACACACCACACCACACAGCACGCGTACTGTTTTTCTTTTTACGTGTTTGAAAAACGCGGCGCTTGTGGGCTGATGATCGCCGTTCTTGCCCTCGTGCCGGCGGCACCGGCGGTGACTGAACCGTGCGCCTGTGCATTGAATTGGACGTATCCAGAGGGTGGCCAGGCTTGCAGCGAGACGCAGTTCGGTTGCCCGCCGGTCGCGTGCGACGGACCGTACCCACCGTGGTGCGTCATCGAGTCGCTGCCGTGCACCGACCCTGACCCTGATTCCGGCGGAGATTGGATTCATTGCGAGCCGGAGTATTCGCCACCGCCGCCGCCGCCGCCCTTTTCTTTTCTTCGCATCGGCGCCCTCTTGCCGCGGCAGCTGCCAAGCGGCGAGTTGATGCACCTTGGCCGGGCAGAGGAGCTGACGTCCGTGCTCATGGCAATCGAGGAAATCAACAACAAAACAGACGGCGTGGCGGACGATCTGCTTCCAAACACGCAGCTTTTGCTCGCGCAGCTGGACTCGCGCTGCGACCCGGCATTCGGCAGCGACGCGGCCTACCAGCTACTGCACCACGCGTTTGACGGCGCCGGCTGCGACGCGCTGGTTGGTGCATACTGCTCAAGCGCGTCCATCCCCGCTGCGAGGCTGGCGGAGCTGACGGCCACCCCGCAGGTACTCACTCTAAGAGGACCGTGTGAGTGTTGCTTATGCAGTCTATAACGGTTGCTGACTCAACTGCTATTAGGTCTCTCACTCCTCTCAGAGCCCGGAATTGAGCGGCGACGACTTTCCCTTCTTTGCGCGGGTTGTCACCTCTGACTCCCTCATGGCTGTGGCTTTGGCTGAGGCCACTCGAAATCTCCTCGGCGTCAAGCGCGTGGCCACCATTGCGTGCACGGACGCATACTGCACCGCCGGCGTGGCGGCCTTTGAGGCGGCTGCGTCTGCTCAAGGAATCACCGTCCTTGAGTCCGTCCGCTTCGAAAACGGTCAGAGCAACCTCGGCGAGCCCCTCGCTGCTTTGCGCGCCTCGTGTGCGACCGTCTTTGTCACCATTGCTCAAGCAGAGGATGCAGATCGCCTTTTGGAGCAAGCCCTCGGTGCACGGCTCGTCGGCCCTGAATTCACCTGGGTTGGCGACATCGGTCTGTTAGGAGGGCTGGGCTCACTGGCCGGCCGTGGCCTCCCCGTGGACGATTTCCGCGGAATACTCGCGATCACAAACTCAATTGCGCCAAGCGTGGCGTACGACGGCTACGCCTCTCGCAAGCGCGCGCGGCCATCCACGCTCGGCGACGGGACAAATTGCGACCCGGCAGACGACGACGAGGGGCACAAACTCTGGTCAGTTGATACGGATGAGGATAGAGCGCCACGCTGCTTCGGTGCCAACAATCAGTTTCCCGAGAGCGTCTATGCCCCGAGAGCTTACGACGCTGTGTACGCTGTGGCGCACGCAGTCCAAGCGCTGGTGGACGACCCGTTGGTTCAGCGTATCGACGGCGACGCTTTGATGGCGGCCCTTCTCGCCGTCCGGTTCGAGGGCGTGACGGGCAAAATCTCCTTCTCGTCCGAGCCGGCCACCCTCGGCGATCGCGCGGATGGCGTCCTTTACGACGTGTTGAACGTGAACGCGTCAGGCGCGTGGGTCAAGCTGGGCACCTGGCAGCCGGCCGACAACTGGGAGCAGAGCTTTGCCGGCAACGGTCAGGCGCTGACGAGGCCAACGCCCGACAACAGCAAGCCGCCAGAACTCGTGGGCGATACGCTGCGCGTCGGAGTCTTTTGTGATCATTCGCCTTTGTCCTTCGTATACGAGCAATGCCAGCACATGATGCACATCATTGACCGGATCAATGACAAGAAGGACGGCTTCCTCGATGACTTACTTCCGGATCACAGGCTCTTTTACTCTATGGTTCAGGCAGGGGTCGGTTGTGAAGAGACTGAGGAATCCATGCGAAGCAAATTCGATCAGCTGTATTCCGACTTGAATGGAGTCGTCGCCACCATCGGCCCGTTCTGCTCGGATGACGTGGCTGCTGTGACAGCCGCCGAGTGGCGCGCTGGAGCCGACATCTCCACCGTTGTGCTCTCGCCGTCGTCGACGGCTCCGATCTTGGCGAACGTGGGCGCATACCCGAACCTGTTGCGCCTCTCGAGCAACGACAAGCACATCGCGTCTGCCCTTGCAGCACTCGCAGAGCGGCTGAGATGGCAAGCCATTTGCGTGCTCCATGACGACAGTCTATGGGGACGTGGGGCCATGCAGTCTTTCACCTCAGCCTTTGAGAGCTCAGGTGGGAAAGTCGTGAACAATGGTACGGCGGAATTTTCCAAGGCAGCTTTTGACGGCGGCAACTTGACAGGGAGCAACCTGCTCGACCAGCTCGAAGACTGCCCTTCGCAAATCATCCTCCTTGTTGCCTACCCGGCTGCGCAGCGGGCGGTGTTTGCTGCCGCCTATGACGAAGACCGGCTTTGGGGGCCGGGCTACGCTTGGCTCAACGCGTATCCGGCTGAGTCGGCCTTCTACAATGCAGATGGCTCGGTGAACACGTCCGCTGTGCTTGGCTCGGAGGGTTGCTCGGAGTCATCGAGTCATCCGGCGTGAGCAGCGCGTCCGACCTCAGCCTCAAGTATCGGGCGCTGTGGGATGAGGTGTCGAGCAGTCAAGGCTGCACCAACATGAGCCCGCAGTCCCGACCCTTCTGCGACCACGACGACGACGCCTCGACCCTTCCCGATTACACGGCAATGCACGTGGATGCAGTGATCAAGCTCGCAGTCTCTGCCGATGCTACGATCCGCAACGGCTCACGGCCAGAAGACGCAGATGCGCTGTTTGCGACGATGCTGGCAGCTGACACCGTTACGGGGCTGAGTGGGCCTAATGTTTTCGACGCCAGCGGAGATCGACTCGGCACCTTAAACGTGCTCAACTACCGGCTGCTCACCGAAGCTTCTCAGTCAGGGCGCCGCCTTGGCGTATTTCTACCGCGTTCGTTGCTTGAGTTCTCAATCGTGGGCAGCTACTCTACCGCAACCTCGACGCTGCAGCTACCAGACGTTGGCGCTCTCGTCTTTTCGGGAGGGTCGACGGAGGTGCCACAGCACTCCTCCCCTCCTCCGCCGCCTCCGCCGCCATCACCTCCTCCTGAGCCGCCGTTGAGCACTGGAGTACTCGTCGTGATCGTCTTGCTTTCGTTCCTGACCCCCGTCGTCGTGATTTGGGTCGCCGTTCGAGAGTGGCGCCGTCGGCGGGAGCGCGAGCACGAACGGACAAGACGGCAGTGGCTGAGATATCTCTCAACGGGACAGCCCGTGCAGCTGGAGCCGCTCACAGACGGCAACAAGTACCATCTCTTTCTGTCCCATTCGTGGCTTTCCGGACAGGATGCTGTCCGAGTGATGAAGGAACGGCTGCTCGATCTGTTGCCAGACACGAAGATCTTTCTCGACGTGGACGACTTGGCGTCCGGGCGAGGCGCAGCCGAGGTTGCTGTGTCCAAGATCCTCATCGTCTTTATGTCGGATGGCTACCTCACGCGCCCCAACACCGTGCGCGAACTGCTTCGGGCGATGACCCTTGAAAAGAGCATCATCACCGTCTTCGATGAGCGCAGCGTCTACATGGACAAAGATGTGCTCAGAGCAGCGATCGACGCAGCTTGCCTGAACCTTTCGAGGTGGGCTCTCGACGGCGCCTTGGCGAGCTGGGGCACAGAGGTCCCAACTGCGGCCGACATCTTTGCTGCGCTGACAGCCCGGCCTCTGCTGTGGACTCGTGTTCCAGCTTTCATGAACGTCACTTTGCACGCGTGCGTGACACCGCTGGTTCAGCCCAAGGCGCCCATGATGCAATCTGTCCCGTCTTGGGCGCCCATGTTGCGACCAAGCGCAGACGGGAAAGCGGTTCTCTCCCCGGAGGCGCTCGAGCGCGCAATCGAGATGACGCAGACTGCTGCTGAGCCTGGCGCGGCGGCTTCGATGAGGCTGTACACGCGAGCCGGCATCAGCTTCACCTGGCAGAGGCTCCGCGTTGGAGAGAGCTTTCGAATCTACGCCAGCCCACACAACCCCGGCGCGCTCGAGCTCACCCAGGAGCTGTCTTGCCTGCTGCAGCACCTCGACATAGAGCTCGAAGTGACGACCTCCGTCGCCGACCTCACGGCCTGCAGCCACATGCTGCTGTACCTCGACAAGCGCACCTGGACGGACGATGACCAGCGGATAGCCGCGCTCTCGAGCGACGTGAAGGCCGCCCTGGCCAGGCGCGTCCACCTGCTTCTGGTTCACGAGAGCGAGCCGTTTGAGTACATGGAGGGCAGCCACGCCGGCGTCAAGTTCGACGACCTCCTTGACTGCGTGGATGGCGGCACCCCCATAGAGCTGCTTCAGCGACAGGTGAGTCCCCGCGCTCGCTGCATCAGCACGCGTAGCACAGTGCCGTCGACTCACCTCCACCTCTGTCTCGCTCAGGTCTACTCGGAGGTTGCGGTGCCGCTCAAAGAAGGCATCTATCGGCCCGCAAGCCTGCTGCTGCTCGCACGCGCTGTCAGCGACCAGACGCGGGCTTCGGCGCTGCGACAGCTCACTTCTTCGTCCAAAGAGCTGCGCCTGCCCTCTACGACTTTGGCGGAGGGCAGTGCAAGTCTGATGAGCCGGACGAAACATGACCGCTCGAGCCGGCAGAGCACCACACTACATGGACGGAGGGCGCTCCCTCTCTGAGGGTTACCTGCCCGGCATTTGGGCACCACTTCTCTTTGCTCACTCTACAGTCGTTGCCAAGGTAAGCTAGCATCTTTGGTACGGCTGTGAGCGCAGCCGCCTCGTCCTCTGTCGTCCTAGATAATGTACAATTGCAATTGTAGTACTGCTCGCAAAACTGCCACACAGGGGTTTTAAGGAGAGGGGTGTGGTGCGCCATACCGTCGCCCACCCTACCTCCCTAGGGAGTCTGTGGACTGTGCCTGCTGCCTCTTCCTATCTCTCTTCGCAGTCTCTCGCCGCTTCTCGCTGCAACCTTCATGCCACCTCGCGGTCGTCCCACTCTCGTCGTTCTCTCCCTTGTCATTTCCTCCTCTGTCGCGTCGTTCTCTTCTGCCTCGTCAGCTGCCTGTGTAAAAGAAAGAAAGAAAACAGACAACCCAAGGGAGGGATGGGAGGACGGTACGCCGCCACCACACAGGGATTTTAGGGGAGAAGTGTGGTGTTAGCCGTCGCCCACCCTCGGGCGTCTACCACTTCCTATCTCTCTCCGGACTCCGCAGTTTATCACCAATTCTTGCAGCGACCTTCATGCCACCTCGCATTCTTCCCACTCTCGTCGTTCTCTCTCCTGCTGTCTCTTCCCCTGACTCATCGCTCTCCTCGGCCTCGTTCTGAGACGCCGCTGTCGTCTGCCGATCTCTTGCTCTCGCTGCTTCTCTCGCCTTTCTGCGTAACTCCGCTCTCCTCTCCGCGTATTTTGGTCCCTCGAGTTTATCGAGCATTCCTCGCGCAAGGACCACATTTCTGACTCCCACTGCGAGCATATCCCGCCCTGTCATGTCGTTGCTCAGGTCCACTCTCGTTTCGAGCACTTGTACCTCAACGGTCGGTGTTGGCACTGGGGCTCCCTTCGAGCTGCCTGTGTGCTGTCGTGAGAGAGACCTCCTTGAATTCTTTTCAGCTGCTCAACTAGGATGTGGACTGTTCGAGCCTCGCGAGCCTCCCACCGCGCCGGCCCAGAGCAAACTCGACACCTCGACACCCCTCGACACCCCTCGACACCCCTCGACACCCCTCGACACCGCTCGACACACTCGACACCGCTCATATCCAGCTGGCGGCCTGCCAGCTGCTCTCTTAAAGAAAGAAAGAAAACAGACAAACCCAGACGAGGGATGGGGGAGCGGGAGGAGGACAGGGTCCCCACCTGCACGAGCAGGATTTTGGAAGGACGATCAGGGGGACAGGTGGGGCTCTCCTGCTCCTGACAAGGGACACGACAGGCTCGCAGCTGCTGTCTTCTTATACCACTCGTTCCTCGTGCGCGCGGGGTGGTACGGCTCCGGCCGTGATGGGGGCGGGGAGGGGGCGGGGGCGACGGCCGCACGGAACCGCCGCCGGCGGGGGGCGAGGGCGCGGGCGAAGGAGGAGGAGCCAGAGCCCGGGGAGGATTGGGAGGGGGAGGAGCGGCCGGAGGAGTACGCCGGCCTCTTTGACGACCCGTAAGGGGCCGTCGCCTGCTGTGCCATTTGTAGTGCCAGTCCGAGCCAGCCACGCGGGGAAAAGGTGTGTCGACCCCAAATCGGGTCCGGACTTCGGACCCGATTACGCTGCCGCCTCGCGCGCACCGCTGCTGCCCTCGCCAGCAGCCGCCGCGGTCGCAGTGCCATCGTACGGACTGGCGGTCGACTCGCCACATCGATTTCAACTCACGCGACGCGCTCGGCCTCCGCTGGCGGCTGCCGCAAGAGCGGCTGGCTCACGGCAGCGTCTCGCCGGTTGCCGGATAGGAGAGTACAGAACGTCTGGAGTGTAACTGTGTACGTGAGATCGGTTTTGATAACAAGCACGGTCGATCCGTCAAAGCGATACACTCGTTCGCTATCTCGCTGGAGGGCTGGCACGGAGCTCTGTGCCGACAAACAGGAAGAGCCGAGCGGCAAGAAGGGCTCGATGGGGAGCGAGAACCGTCAGAGGTGCTCACCCAGGTTTCGGAAGTCCGCCTTGATGCGGTCGGTTCCCCCCAGGTTTGAACGCGCAGCTCGCAAGACTCGTCGAGCACTCGCAGCCTCTCTGCGCCTCTCATGCTGCCGCTCTGCGGGACGTTCAGTCTTTCCGGAAGATATCGTCGAGTTTTGGAAGCTGCGCGGTCAAACCTGGGGGGAAACAAGAGCGTCACGACGGACTTCAGGTTACACCTAAAGCTCTTCTGACGCTTCTCACTCCCCATCGAGCCCTTCTTGCCGCTCGGCTCTTCCTGTTTGTCGGCACAGAGCTCCGTGCCAGCCCTCCAGCGAGATAGGAACGAGTGTATCGCTTTGACGGATCGACCGTGCTTGTTATCAAAACCGATCTCACGTACACAGTTACACTCCAGACGTTCTGTACTCTCCTATCCGGCAACCGGCGAGACGCTGCCGTGAGCCAGCCGCTCTTGCGGCAGCCGCCAGCGGAGGCCGAGCGCGTCGCGTATCGATCGAGCTCGCGATCCGGGCCGTGGAGCCCACGAGGAAGACTTCGTCTGCTGGGACGGAGTCCCGACGCTCGCTGCGTCCGCTGGAACTGGGGTCTACACACCTTTCGTTTCCGCGTCCAGCAGAGGTCTGCTGTGAGAGGGGCTTAGAGTAAAATTCTTATAACAATGGATTTTTCTCCTGGCTCCGATGGCCTCCCACCGCATCGGCGCCCGCGTCGCGGGCCTCTCGCCAGCGCAGCTGTGCACCATCATCGAGGCGCAGGCGGGCGCGAGCGACGCCGCGCTGCGCGTGGCGGAGGAGCACGCCGCACGGCTCGTGGAGCAGCCCGAGTGGGTGCTCTCCGAGGTCCTCCTCTCGCCGGACCTCGCCCCGCACATCCTCGCCCATCTGCCGACCAAGGAGCACGCCGCCAAGGGGACGTGCCGCGCGTGGCGCCGCGGCTGGAAGGAGACGCTGAAGAAGCGCAAGAGGCCGCGCCTGCTCGTGATCGGCGGCGAAGGCAGCAACGACGAGTTCGTCTACTCGGTGGAGCGGTACGACCCGTCAACGAATGCGCGGGAGGAGAAGGCGATGGCGCCGATGCCGACGACACGAAGCTATGTCGGCACGGCGGTCCTCGATGGCAAGCTCTACGCGGTGGGCGGCATGAGTGAGGCTGACGAAGCAACTTCCAACCTTTTGGAGCGGTACGATTTTGAAACGAACGCGTGGGAGGCGGTGGCGTCGATGGGGACGGCGCGGCAGGAACACGCCGTGGCGGTGCTCGACGACAAGCTGTACGCTGTGGGAGGCTTCAACTACGACGACGGCTACCTCAGCTCGGTCGAGCGGTACGACCCGGCGACGAACGCGTGGGAGGCGGTAGCGCCGATGACGACGGCGCGGCATGAACACGCCATGGCGGTGCTCGACGACAAGCTGTACGCTGTCGGAGGATATAACGACGACGACCACTACCTCAGCTCAGTCGAGCGGTACGACCCCGCCACGAACGCGTGGGAGGCGGTGGCGCCGATGGCGGAGGCGCGGCAGTCTGGCGTGGCGGTGCTCGACGGCAAGCTGTACGCTGTGGGCGGGTACGGTGGTGGCCACCTCAGCTCGGTGGAGCGGTACGACCCGGGGACGGGTGCGTGGGAGGCGGTGGCGCCGCTGACGATGGCTCGCTTCGGGGCCGGGGTGGCGGCGCTGGAAGGCAAGCTTTACGCTGTGGGCGGCAGAATTCTCGATCCTGACAGGCCGGTTCACTCGGTGGAGCGGTTCGACCCGGCCTCGAACGCCTGGGAGGAGGTGGCGCCGATGGCAACGGCGCGGGCCTTTCCTTTCGCGCTCCTGTAGGCAGGGGCATAGGTGAGCTGTGAGCTGTGAGAGAGAGCGGCATGGACCCGGACGGGACGGACGAGGGCGAGACGAGACGAGACGAGACGAGGCGGACGACCTCGAAACAGCGTTGGGCATGCTACGACCTACAGCACGCCGTCGTTGCCCACGGCGCGGCCGAGCGCATCTCGGTCACATTTCGCCAGGTGGTGCCAAGCCAGAGGGCCAAGTTCGAGAAGATGATCATTACGCCGTGGACCGTGGACGCATGGCGCTGTGGTTCCGTAGGGGGCGTAGCCCCACGTCGTGCGGCAGTGGGTTTAACGATACGTGTCGTTCGTATACAGGGTCAGTTCAGTGGGTACTGTTCAGCGTTCTCTATTTCCTCGATCAAAGAATCCCCGCGCGCTGCCGCACCACGCGATCGTCGCTGCTCGCTCGCCGCTCTCCTGACTCCTCATTAGACCTTGAGCTGGTCTCTCGACTCTCGTATAAAAAATCACCGCGCTCCCGACTCCTCGCTCGCCCATGCCTCAGCCCCCCTCCTCAAACGATGAGCATGCGAGACGCATCAACGTCGATTGTGATTTGCCGTGGCCAAAGAAACGCTGCAGCGACAAAGAGCACAAAAAAAAACTCGGACCCACGAAGACAAGGAGCGCGCGCCAATGGCCGCCTCCGTGACACTCCCACCTCCTGGGCCGGCGCGGGAGTTTTACTGCCGAGTTTCTCCCGGCCGGCCGCCTCCTGACACGCCCACTGACCGAGCCCATCGAAAAAAATTCGGCGCGCCGCACTGCTCTGACCCCTGCTCGCCCCTGCTCGCCCCTGCTCGCCACTGTCGCCTCGGTTGCCGAGGCTGCCGCGCACCCGCGCGCTACGCGACTACGAACTGCACCAGCTGGGCTCGAACCAACGACCAAAACGTCCCCGACCCGAACGCTGCACCAACTAGGCCACACCGCAGGCTCGATATGCAATACGCACAAAACTGGCCGCTCATAAAGCACTACTCATTTGCCGAGGCCACGCGGCGCCCCTCCACAGCCAGCCTACCCTCCTATCGCGCCACTCGAAGCCCCGCGGCCGCCTCTCGCCTACCGCGCTGCCCTCGCCTGCCACCGCACCGCCCGCGCTCCAGCCTAACCAGCTCTGCATGTCGCAACACACACTTGACAGGGACAGACCAGGCGCAGGAAAAGGGAGCGGGGCCCGAATCCAAGGGACCACCCCGTCGGGCGGAGGAGCTGTGAACTCAGGTCCAGCAGGAAGGCTGCTGGCTCCTGACTCATCCCCCAAATCCCCCATGGGTGGACGCTGGACAGATGATGACGACACGCACGAGCGACACACAGACGTGCAAGC